TACCACTGGTACAACTGCATGTAAATCATATGTATGGATGTATCTATGCCATCACAGGTATGGCTGTATCTATATTACCAGGAGCGTATAATGACAAATATTTGTCATTATACGCTCCTGATATTACTGGTACAGTTGCATCTACATCATATCAGGAGTTAATGAGACAAAATTAACGAGACAATTAATGAGAAAAAGTTCATGAGACAAGGTTTGTCTCATTAACTCCTGATCATATGTACGGCTGTACCTACATCATCATAGGTATAGCAGCATCTGCATCACAGCTATAGCAGCATATGCATCCTCACGTGTACCTGCATCCGTACCACCATGCCAGAGCTAATAATACCTTAATACCTTAATACCTTAAGGTATACCTTAATACCTTAATATACCTTAAGGTATACCTTAATACCTTAATACCTAAGGTATTATTAGCTCTTGGTACCACGTATAGGCATTACACCGTTATACCGATGGCACATAGCGCTCAAGGTCGTGTCCATGCAGCGCCAGGGCGTTTCCTCGTGGTGCCAGCAGTAGCTCAACAGCGTCATTATTACCCTCAGCTTATCCACACAAGCGTGTGCTGCTATTGTTCGAACAAAGAATCACATAGCTGACAAATTACGCTGGCTAGAGGATTTTATTGCCGAATAAAACAGCCGCTATGCGAAGCGCACCCACTGATTATGCCAGCACACTTCGCTGGCGGTCGCATTTGCTAGTCGTAAACCGAAGACGCAACTTGCTTATTTGGACGTTGCTACGATAAATAGTGTGATAATTGATATGACCCGAATTTATGATGATTTCCTGCCGATGCGCGCGCACGTATACGTGTTCACGTACACGCTCGTGAATATGCGCACGCGGGAACGTGCACGTACACGCGAGCACTCATGCACACACGCATGTGCGCGCGCATGCACGCACTCACTCGTGCAACGCGGGTACGCGCATATCCACACATACACGCGCTCTCATATTATTTCGTTCTCCCCCTCTCTCTTTCTCACTCTCTCTCCCTTTCTGTCTCTCCCGCTATATCGCCCTCTCTCCAGCTCTCCCTCACAATCTCTCTCTCTCTCTCTCTCTCTCTCTCTCGCTCTCTCTCCCTCTCTCTCTCTCTTTCTCTCTCTCCCTCTCTCTCTCTCTCACGAAATCTCACCTACCCGCACGTACACCTATCTCACCTACCAGCACATACACCTGTAACCGACGCGGCCAGGTTCCTCTTATTCAAGCGCACCACTACACCAGCGGAAGTCTCACACAAAAGCCACCGCCGCATTTAACCCGTAGCTCTATTGACGACAGCGTAAATACCTGGACGGACGCATTGTCAACCAGAGACCATCGGCTACGAATCGTGCTCATCCAATAATTGTGTTCATGCCCACGCCGGCTCTATTGGGCTTGTCCTCCAGCGTGGTAACTTCACCAGGGCAACAAGCCCCCATACGTTACCCCTAATCACGACTAGAGAGCCCCAAGACATGTAGCTGTATATCAGGAGCTATTAATAACAAATTACTATTTTTTATTATTATTATTTGTCATTATTAGCTTCTGATGTATATATATATACGGTCATGGCAATTTCATCTAAAAATTCAGCAGAGATGATGATGATGATGATGCTGACGATGACGATGCCGACGACGATGACGATGACGACGACAGTGTAAATAGATACCATAACCGCGTGGCTGTTGATCAGGTACTCCTGCATGCTTAAGGTTATAGTGGCATCGGTATGCATGTACATGGAGTTTCGGGCGTGGATGTTCGTGAGGCTGGGCAGGTTTCGGAAAGTTGAAATGCGGAGTAGGGAGCATTCACTGGTAGGAAATGGGACACAACTTCCACTGTTCGTGTATCTTTTACCCCACGTTCACACATGACCCACACTGTTAATTCGTTTTCATTATACTGCCGCTATTCTTTATGCTATTCCTTCCGCATTGACATTAATCTTAAAACCAATCAATAAAATCTATAAATAAATAATAACTCGAACGCTGAACAGACGCCAAACACGGATGCGGGGGATAGATAGATAGATAGATAGATAGAGAGAGAGAGAGAGAGAGAGAGAGAGAGAGAGAGAGA